GTGAAACAATCCAAATTATAGTGGTAACGTCTCTAATTGCAGCCCTGGGTGACGCGAGTTCGAATCTCTGAGGAGACATCAATTTCCTAGTTGGTAATGCTTCCAACAAGCAGAAAAACTAGATGGAGGGCCTTCTGTCGTTTGCCTTTAGTCAATTAACAGTTCCTTGTATGTTGCAGTCAAATTATTTTAGAAAATATTACCAATTAATACGATGATATATAAAATTAGTCTGTTTTTTCGAGGTTGGAATTTAACTGTTATCGACTGTCCTTCTTATCTGGACGAAAAGTTTACCATAAAAGGATTTCATTGTTGCATTTATGTAGAAATCTTGGCTTTCATACAATTAAACGCGTCAGAGAAATTGGGATAAAAGTATCAAAAGAATCCCTTTGGGAGTTTTATAACTCAATATTATGAAACAATATAAAGTGTGATTGGTTGTATGTGTTTCTTGAATCTTAATTCGGCCATAATACTTATCTCGTTCGTTCCAACATGGACTGGGAAGCCACTGTTCAGTAGACTAAGGATTATTGACCACGTCTTCCAAAACAGATGAATTTTACTGGGCACTGATAAGAAGTAGTAATCACCTAGATAATTGCAACTTATTGTGGTATTTCTCAGCTGTGAATGCATGTTATTATAAGGGTATAAGGTTATAAGATGTATTATAAGGGTAATATATTTCTTATGCGGTCGCTCAGATTTCATGAAAGCAGTAGACTAGTGGGATTTCTGTATATAAACCATTGTGTAATATATGAAGGAAACCCAGTTTTGCAATAGATTGTGAAAATAATTTTTCGAAATCTCGACGAAGTAGGCAGGTAAACTTCTGATATTTGGCAATATCACTAAAGCCACTTATTCATAAAATGAATACTATGTGGTTTCTTATGAATAAAAACAGCGAAAGGAAGAAGCTAGATTATACTGTTCACGCATGTTGACAAAACCGAAGCATCTTGCTGCCACCAGTTATTGAACTTAGTGTTTCGAGGAAGTCCTGAAACTTGTCGGTTTATCTATTTACTTCGTGGGGAATCAAAAATATATTTCTTTTTCACATAATCTGTTTGCTGCTTAGCATGTTTGACATTAACCTGTCCTGGTTAACTAGTTCAGTAGTTACTAGCCGGTCCTAAGCCCGGATAAAGAGGGAAGGTTGGACAGAGGGCTAGCAACCCCACCCCGTAAAACCAACCCAGCGCGAAAGGAACTTCAAAGCAAAAACAAAATATAAACAATACGAACAAAATTATTCCTTCCTGGAATCCGAGAGGCGAAATGACGACAGCTGGTGAAAGACTTCGGGAAGCCAATTGACCAATGTGTCTTCTCTCGATGAAAGCGAAAGTCAACATGAGGACATGGAATGTCCGCAGTATGTTTGAACCTAGCAGGGCTGCCAAGAGTGCAAAAGAGATGAGAAGGTATGGCACAGAAGTGCTAGGAATCTGTGAAAGGAGGTGGAGTGGAAGTGGACTCTCCAAACTGTCAACTAGAGAGGAGTCAATAATCTACTCCCATATTGTCACCCAGACCACAACCACGAGTCTCCTCCAGGATCATGAGAGCAAGATTCAACTCAAAAGGAAGGAAGGAAAGTCACAATCGTACAATGCTACGCTATGCGCCTACAAATCATGCAGATGAAGAGAAGAAGGAGGAATTCTACAGACAACTGCAATCAGTACTGGACAAGACCACAGACGGCAACGACGACACCAAAATTATAATGGGCGACATGAGTACCATCCTGCGAGCAGGCAACACAGGAAGAGAACTCACCATGGGTTGAGAAGCACTTGGTGAAATGATGAAGGAGAATGGAGAACTGTCTGCAGACTTCTGCACCTTCAACGAATTGGTGATAGGAGGCAGTGTGTACAAACACAAGGATATTCACAAAGCGACATGAACTTCACCAGACACCAGGACACACTAAAATCCAGATCAAATTCATCTCAATTTGAAGAACGTGGAGATGGAGATGCAGCCTGCTGGACACAAGATGAAGGAGGGTAGCAGATGTAGGTGGTTCATACCACTCACTATCTAGAGCAAGGAACATACCTTCAAAATCAAGTTGAAAGCCTTCAATTCGAAAAACGTTGGTGATAGACCACAGTTCAAGTTCAACACCCACAATAAAAGACACTGAAGGACGAAACTACAAAGGACATCTTCATGTCAGTCATCAGGACAAAATGCAAGATAGTGAACATCCCAGAAGCAATTCGCGTGGAAGAATACTGGAAATCTTCGAAAGAGGTGTGGAAAGAAACCTGCATAACCATGTTAGGAAGGAAGAAGAAACAGGATAATGAGTGGATCTCCACGGATAGATGGAAGCTGATAGAGGAGGGAGAGGGTGAAGCAGAAGATAAACCAGTGCAGTGCAGTGCAGGGATGAACAACGAAAAGAGGAACTGAACACAACCTATAAAACACTACACTGGACAAAGAAGTGAAGAAGAGTGCACACAAAGACAAAAGACACTTCTACGACACACTGGCAAGTGAAGCAGAACAGGCTGCTGGTAGGAGACACAGAGACCTGACAATGTTATATCAAATAACCAGGTAACTGTCTGTGAGGGAAGAGATCAACACAGATGAAGCCAATAAATGATTGTTAGGGAAACCTAGTTACCAGAATGGAGAGAGGAAGGAAATGATGGACTGACCACTTCAAAAAGCTCTTGAAAGGACCACCACCTTCACTTGTCCAGAAATACCACCTGCAGCTCAGTCATAGAACTACAAGTGAACACAAATCCCCCAACAAAAGTAGAAGTCTTGAACGCCATAAAGCTAATGAAATGCGGGAAAGCATCATGACCAGACGGAATCCAGCCAGAAGCACTCAGAACAGACACAGAGGCAACAGTGGACATGCTCACATCACTCCTATTGCAGAAGGTTTGGAAGGGAGGAAAGGTACCTGCTGACTGATTGGATGAAAGGTTATTTTGTCAAATTCCCGAAGGAGGGCGACCTAAGTATTCACAAGAACTAGCGCGGAATTATGCTCCTGTCCTCTTTCACCCCAAGCAAAATATTATGCCGCGTCATCCTGAAGAAAGTAAACAATGCTCTGGATTAGAAACTACGACCGAAACAGGCTGGCTGGATTCAGGAAGTACAAATCATGTGCGGATCAAATTGCAACGCTTCGCATCATCATATAACAGAGTATAGGATGGCAGTCAACCCTCTACCTCATCTCAACTTTATCGATTTTGAAAAGGCCTTCAACAGCACCGACCGAGAAGTAATTTGGAAACTGCTTCAATACTACGGAGTACCGCAAACCTTTATCCGCCTCACTCAACAACTATATGCAGACGCCACATGCCAAGTGATTCACAATGGGAAGCTTAGTGATGCCTTTGAAGTGAAGTGAAATGAAGACAGGAGTAAAACAAGGCTGTCTACTATCACCCATGATATTCCTAATTGTGGTGGACTGGATCATGGAACGAACTGTGAGGAGCGAGAAGAGGGGATACGCTGGCTGGACCTAGGAAAAGATCCTAGAAGATTTGGATTTCGCCGATGAGTTGTGTCTAATGTCATACAAACTCGAAGGTCTACAGGCGAAAACTAACAAGTTGACAGAAAAGGCGAGGCAGAGAAGACAGAACTTCGAGTGAACGTAGAGAAGACAGAGGTGATGATGATACCCAACCAACACCACCAGCACCAACAACGACACTAAGCTCAACGGGAGAAACTTAAAAGGAAGTAGCCTCTTTCACCTATCTAGACGGCACCATTTCAACTACAGGCGGCGCAGACGACGACGTCAAAGTCAGGATCGGAAAAGCAAGACAAGCGTGCATTAACCTGGAACCAGTGTGATCTACTGCAGTCCACTCAGAATAAAGAACAAGATCCGGATTTTCAACACCACTGTCAAGTCAATGCTTCTGTATGGTTCAGATACCTGGGACGTTACGAAAGGCATTTCCAACAAACTACAGACATTCATCAACAGCTTCCTACACTTGTCACTAAAGCTCAGATGGCTAGAAAGAATTAGCAACAAAGAATGCACTCTGGCAACGAACCAACCAAGAAGCTATCTCCCAACAAATATGGAGAAGGAAGTGGAGGAGGATTGAGCGTACACTGAGAAGGCCGATTGGGGACATCACATGGCAAGCCAGGCCGTCGAGTGGAATCCAAAGGGGAAACGATGAGTTGGGCGTCCGAGGTGAGGATGACATCGAGGAGATCGTGCGAGGAAGAAATGAGAGGCTGTGAGCTGTTGTGTAACCAGGTTCAAAAGATTGGAGAGAAGAGAGTGGAATGGAGACGTGCTACTGAATCCCTATATTCCATTAGGAACCCAAGGGACAAATAATAAACAATAATAATGTTTAACATTATCAGGTCAAACTTCCATCATGGTATCAACAATCTTCTGCATTTAGTATTATTCCTGTTCTCTGGCACACACGAAATTATGAAATCTTCATATTGCATTGCAAATTATTTTGCTAAAACATATGAAAATGAATTAAAAGACTATGACCACGTGTTTACATTAAAAACGATTAGTTGGAACAGAAGTGTCAGATACGCTTTTTCCTTACAGTCAACTTAACTCAGTTCTTTGAGGTTAAGAAAATAGTGCTTGGAGTATTCTTCAGACGGAAGACATTGGCAAGAGGCTTTTAACTGGAAATTCATTTTGTCACCTGGTTAGTTAGAGAACAAAAGTTGGTAAAATGCCAGTTAAATATCACTCCATCTGAGATTTTAAGACTTATATAAGTGGAGGCCTCATCGAGAAGCTGATTTTCATTTAGAGGATGTAGTCTGTTCATAAGTTAGAGCTGATACAGATAGTCTTACTTCCAGTATTGCTTTCTAATGAGTAGTGACTTTTATGAAGAAGAGAAAAGATGTCCTTTATGATTAACTTTCTGAAGCATGTTTCTGAGTTGCTTTATGGTTCGTGACACTCATTGATTTTTCAGCTTATTACCAATGTCACTTGAAGTTCAGAGTTGTCGAAACTTACTTACCCAGCCTCTTTGGATTAAAGATTCACAGTATTTTGATCTGCAAAGTCTACAGAGATCCGACTACCAATGGCACTTAGGTACATCAAGAAAAACAGAACCTGAAGGGATTCGTGCACGAAGTTTTAAGCCAAAGGTATGTTAAAAGTATTCAGTAAATGTTTAATACATTGACTTTCTTCTCCATCTCTCTGTCTATATACATCCATTCTGTAGCACAAATCCGCCTTGTTACCGTAGGTAACTTATCTTACTCTGTTTGTCCTAATGTACAGCTTGCTAATTAGTTCTTTTTACCTAAAAGGAATTGATAAGCACATAATATACAACCATATTTCATCACTAAAACATATTAGTAATTGTGGATAAAAGTGATGCAGTTGGCGATGACAGAGGAATATTGAAAACAGGAGAGTTCAGATACTCACTGTAAAAGCAAAAGAAACTAATGAACAAAAGTTTCCACCGTCTACAGTGTTTCTTAGCATTCTCTTTATGATCCAATTTGCTTGTTGTGAGCATCTTTTGGCCTGCACTATGCAGATATTCATATTTTTATGTCCTGTGTGGTGTTTCGCAGCTGCTGTTAGATCATTTATAACTCTGACCGCAGGTAACGACCATAAAGCATACATGTTTGTACTTTTCACCTGCAATGGCAACCACAGTTAGTGTCATCTGGTCCGATTATTCAGCACATACTACTGAAAGATATTCTTTACATGCTCATTTCATGACACTCACTTCAGAAGACTCAGGTATCTTCTCATATCTGTCTTTAGTAAGATTATAAATGATGCATTGTTAATCATAGTATCATAATAATCTCTTCTTACTTTTATAAAACATATTGTTATATTATGTTGATCTAGGTATCGATACTTAAGCTAATAGACTGCTGGTCCAGCCAAAACCTTTGTTTCATACTTTTTAGCAGTGAACTGTGCTCGAGGTGTGGTTTACTTCTTAGTCAGAGAAAAAGTGGACACAACTCTATTAGTTGCTACGTGAACGTTGTTTTCACTGTTATTTTGAATCTTACTCAACTAAAACAAAAATTTGAACCAGTAAACGACAAACTAAGTCTCAACTTGTTTTTCATAACCATTCCCCACAATAAATCTAAACACCTAATTCTGTAAGTGGTTTGTTATCAGGTAAACCCATTAAGTAACAATTTCATTGTTTATAAAACAGATGTATAGCTTCGTATCTGATAAGTGGCATTAAATGCATTATAAGTTTCACCCAATGGGTCCTATTATTTATCTTTGTCACTCGAACAGTCATTTCATTACTTCACTTGCATTTCTTACCTCAAAAATAATTTTATCCTCTTACCTCTCTTCTACACTAAGGTTTCTGCATACAGAAGTACAATAAACTGGGATTTGGGTGAAAAATCAAAGTCAGTCTCTTGTGTATGCACAGAAAGTACTCCAGAAACAAATCAAAATTTCACTAGTTCACTGACAAACCTGTTGAATCAACAACCAAGAGACTGGCTCATTGATGACTATGATTCGAAGCACAAAGAATGGAGGCGAACAGAACAAATTGTAAAAAATAAAGAACCCTTCACAAGAACTTCTTTGTATCGTGAACACTTTTCTCCAAAAGAAGCTGGTGAGTTAAAAGTACTCAGTATGAAAATGGTTCATTAGGCATGCAAAACAAGTCACTACTCTCACACTACGTTTTTATCGTATTCAGTCAACTTTACTGTGCTTCTGTTCCACTGATTGGCCGTGTTCACAGAGTATTTATCACCAACTCATACTGATTGGTGCATGCTCACTTTAAAATGGTTGACTTGCCTCCATATTTAATTTACTGGCAGTTGCAAACTAACTATTGACAAATGTTAAATGTCATATGATTTTAACTGTTCCACCCAACTGGTTAGACTCATTTCATATAAAACAAAGGCTGGTATTGGCCTTTAAAATTTTTCAAGTAATTAAAATCATGAACAACAGGGGATAATGTGAGACTTCATTTGAAGCATTTCATCTTCATATAATTGAGCTTAGCGTTCATAAATTTTATTTTCTTAGAACTTTATTAGTAGCGTGTTATTAACAGTTAGGTGATAAATTCATATTTAGCAAATAAGATGTGAAAAATCAATAAATGTTATGGTTTTGGATCAAAATATAAACAAGCATATTGGAAGTAAGCTGTCAGTCATCCGAAAACTATGGATCTAGGTTCCGTGCTTCATGGCTCTCATCGGTTAGCTGCACCAGCACCCATGAGAAAAATCATTTTCAAACTAGCATTTATCACGGGCTGATGTCGTTTGGAGAAACACTGAGAACCTGGGAGCACTGGGCATCTGTTTCGTCCTAGTATAGAACTCTTCAGCTATTTGTGCCTGTGACCTTGCCAGGGTTCAAACCCGGGACCTTCGAGTTCCACGACCAACAGCAGGAAATGTGGACCACTGAGTTCCGATTAGCTGGGTCAGTGGTAACGTACTGGCCGTGGGACCTAGAAGTTTTGTGTTTGAGGTGATGGGTGCATACTGCTGAGGAGTCTCATTGTGGGACAAAACAGCTATCTAGTGCCCCTAGGTTCCTAATGTTTATTTCGCTGACATTAGTCCACGATGAATACCACTTTGAAATCATGGAGTCCCTACAAACCTGCAAATTAAAAAATCGGTTTCTCTGGATGATAACGATATCCATTACTCACTAGCAAAGTTGAAGACTTTACTGCTAATTTTTCTAGTCATGACTGATCCTTGATATCTTAAACTAAACTTTGCTGCAATGAACTGCTGTACCACTTCATTTCGTGGGCAGAATGAAAACACGGTCAACAAATTTCATGCATTTGGATCCGTTGAAAAGTGTAGACAAAGGAAGGAGAAGGAAATTTGCAGAATAAAATGATATTTTATCTCACGAATACTCTTTAGATGCAGTCAGTCTAAAAGTAAAGCAGTTATTAGAACATAAGATATATAAAAATTAGGAAATCAATGACCTTAAGTTGTTCAGCAAAACCACTGATTGTCCTAGGTGTGTTGACGACACCATTTTACTTGTATTGACATAAAACAAGCAGATGAGTTGTTTGATAAGCTGAAAGAGGATCGTTCTAGCACTAAGTATCAGCGTGAAGACAAATTCAGGTTTTTGGACTTCAACGTAAGAGGGAGAATTTATGGTACGATTGAAAAGATCATACACAGCAAAGATACATGAACCGGACAATGCCTTAACTTTAACACTTTCTGTCCGGTCATCTATAAGTATGAGCTAGAAAGGACACTATAACAGAGATAGGAAATCATGTTCCATGGAAAAGTGAGAAAAAGAACGAAACATTAAAAAGAAGTGTTGCTAAGAGAATGAATATCCTGAGGGATTTATTATGAAGTATAGAAAAGAAGAGATCGAGAGAAATAAACACCCAGCTGTAGAAAAGAAGAAGGTTGTTAAACATTTTACATTCAAGGAAGATTCAATATCAAAGAGAATAAACAAGAATTAAAGGAGCACTGAGAAGGAGCTTTCCTGCAGCTAAACATGTATCAGTAGACAAGCCTACATGCTCGCTGAACCGGACTAAGGATATCTCCAAGAGCCTGTGCCTAAAAAGTAATGAAGTTCTAATCAGTGGAACTGCTAGGCACCTCATAGACACAGGATATCAGGTTGAAACCTCAAGTATTTTTAAAATAAAAACAAACACAAAATTTTTGCATTACTGTGCTTTGTGGGAGCGATTGATATAAAACACTTTCAGCCTGACCTTTGTATACATAACTGACAGTGCAGTTATTCTCTCACCCCCTTGGTGACTATGATTTAACCCTTTTCCATTTTAATTGCGTAACTCTCTTTTTGATCTCATATTTTCCCCTTTCTTACATTTCTAAACTCTGTACCTATTTCGTGGATTATTAATGATTTTATGGCACAACTTAAGATTACTGATTTTTTTGTTTTAAAATATCTTATGTCTTAATAATCATTGTACTTTTAGACTGAATACGGCTAAAGAGTATTCGTTGCCCATTTGCCTTGTCTAAATATTCAGTAAACCATTATCAGTGCTGAGTAATAACGTCTTCCCAAGTGCATTAAGTTCCAATCTATCATAAGTGCATGTGTAAATTGTTCGTTAAATATCGACTGCAAATGGTGACGTAGAAAAGACGCTTGTTGCATTTTTTCTTGAGTAATCCTTAGAGTCTATCATATATGCTTATATATAAAAGTGGGGATTACATGAAGTCACTGAAGTAAGAGAATTTCGAACTCATCACTTTTAACAGGCGCCACTTCACTTTAGATTTTAACTATTGCTTATGGAAAAACGAAGCAAAGTAACACAAATTTCCCTTAAAACTACCACATATATTTCACGCTTAGATAATATTTACTTTTATGTAGCCGTTAGTTATGACAACTTTATCGTAGTATGTGCATTAGTGTACGCAAAACTGCACACACAAAGTGTGGCTGTTAAGCCCAGTGACCATTGTGCAGGAGGTGTTGGCGTGTTTCTAATAAAATGGAGGTTTGTGAAGGAGAAGTAATCTAAGTGATTGTTGTTGAATGACATATAATTAATACTTTTCTTAGAAACAAGTTACAACTAGGAAGACTCGCAAGAAGTGCTGTTCCTCATGAAGACTGAATAACTTACTGGTGGTTTCAGTGCAAAGGAAAGGAAATCCAGAAAATGCTGATTTACCATTAGCTGCTTTCATGATGAACTTTCAATTAGACAGTAGTGTTAGAAACTCATGATATATAGTAATTACTATTATTTGTCCCTTGGATTCCTAATGGAATATAGGGATTCAGTAGCATGTCTCCATTCCACTCTCTTCTCTCCAATCTTTTGAACCTGGTTACACAACAGCTCACAGCCTCTCATTTCTTCCTCGCACGATCTCCTCGATGTCATCCTCACCTCGGACGCCCAACTCATCGTTTCCCCTTTGGATTCCACTCGACGGCCTGGCTTGCCATGTGATGTCCCCAATCGGCCTTCTCAGTGTACGCTCAATCCTCCTCCACTTCCTTCTCCATATTTGTTGGGAGATAGCTTCTTGGTTGGTTCGTTGCCAGAGTGCATTCTTTGTTGCTAATTCTTTCTAGCCATCTGAGCTTTAGTAACAAGTGTAGGAAGCTGTTGATGTGACGAATGTCTGTAGTTTGTTGAAAATGCCTTTCGTAACGTCCCAGGTATCTGAACCATTTAGAAGCATTGACTTGACAGTGGTGTTGAAAATCCGGATCTTGTTCTTTATTCTGAGTGGACTGCAGTAGATCTCCACACTGGTTTCAGCCTGATGAAGGCCTGTTTTGCTTTTCTGATCCTGGCTGCTTTGACGTCCTCATCTGTGCCTCTGCCGTCTGTAGTTGAGACAATGCTGCCTAGGTAGGTAAGAGAAGGAGACCACTTCCATTATACTTCTCTTGTTGATAGTGACTAGTGCTTGTCGTTAATGTTACTCTTGTTGGTTGGGTATCTTTATCAGCTCTCTTTTCTTTATGTTCACTTTAGGTTCCATCTTCCTTCGCTGCCAGGCCTCTTCTGTCAACTTGTTAGTTCTCGTCTGTAGATCTTCACATTTGTGCGACACTTGACATAAATCATCATCATTGGGGAAATTCGAATCTTCTAGGGTCTTTACTTAGGTCAAACATTGTATGCACATCTTCTCACAGCTCCTCACAGTTTGTTGCACGATCCAGTCCAGTCTATTCGACCACAATCAGGAAGATCATGGGTGATAGTGGGCAGCCTTGTCTAACTCCTGTCTTCACTTTAAAGGCGTCACTGAGCAGTCCATTGTGAATCACTTGGCGTGTGACGTCGTCATATAGCATACAGCTGTTGAATGAGGTTGATAAATGTTTGTGGCACTAAAACCGTGATGTTGAAGCAGCTCTCTACAAAATCACTTCTCGGTCGACGCTGTTGAAGGCTTTTTCAAGATTGATGAAGTTGAGGTTGAATTGAGTTGACTGCCATTCTATGCTTTGTTTTATGATGATGTGTAGCGTAGTGTTGTAATTTGATGCACACATGATTTATTCTTCCTGAAGCCAGCCAGCCAGCCTGTTCCGGTCATAATTTTGAATGCAGAGCATTTTTTAGTCTCTCCAGGATGATGCGACTTAATATTTTGCTTGGGGTGGATGGGAAGGTGATTCGGCGCCAGTTCTTGCAAACACTAAGGTCGCTCTTCTTTGGAAGTTTGACAAAATAGCGCTTCTTCCAATCAGTCAGCAGGTACCTTTCCTCCCTTCCAAACCTTCTGCAATAGGAGTGATGTGAGCATGTCCACTGTTGTCTGTGTCTCTGATTTTAGTGTTTGTGGTGGAATTTCATCTGGCCCTGTTGCTTTCCCGGATTTAAGCAACTTTATGGCATTCAGGACTTCTGCTTTGTTCCTATGGTCTGTGTTTACTGGTAGTTCTGCAGCTGCTGGTGGTATTTTCGGACGAGTTGCAGACGGTGGTGGTGGTGGTGGTGGTGGAATCAGGAGTTCTTTGGAGTGGTCAGTCCATCGTTTCCTTCCTTTCTCCATTCTGGTAACTAGGTTTCCCTAACAATCATTTATTGGCTTCATCTGTATTGATCTCTTCCCTCAC